ACTTGCCGTCTGCGGCAGCCAGCTTTTGGCATCAGCTTTGTCCTCTGCATCTCCTGCATCCTGGTGAAAACCAACCGTGTCCTTCTTGTCTTTGAGGCAAAGATCCCCACAAGCCTCCACCGAAAGTGGTGGGGCCTCAACCTTCAGTTCCTCCTGGTATTCTTGTGCACGTTTGTGCAGATTGTCATCTGTGTGATTTGGCTCTATACGGCCCCACCATCCAGTTACCGAAACCATGAACTGGAGGATGAGATCATATTTATCACCTGCCATGAAGGCTCCCTGATGGCCCTCGGCTTCCTCATTGGCTACACCTGCCTACTGGCAGCCATCTGTTTCTTCTTCGCCTTCAAGTCTCGAAAGCTGCCTGAGAATTTTAACGAGGCCAAGTTCATCACCTTCAGCATGCTGATATTCTTCATCGTGTGGATCTCCTTCATCCCTGCTTACGCCAGCACGTACGGCAAGTTCGTGTCTGCTGTGGAAGTGATTGCAATACTGGCTGCCAGCTTTGGGCTTCTGGCCTGCATCTTCTTCAACAAAGTCTACATCATCCTCTTCAAGCCCTCCCGCAACACAATCGAGGAGGTGCGCTGCAGCACAGCTGCCCACGCTTTCAAAGTGGCTGCCAGGGCCACACTGAGACGGAGCAACGTGTCCCGCAAGCGCTCCAACAGCCTGGGAGGCTCCACCGGCTCCACCCCTTCCTCCTCCATCAGCAGCAAGAGCAACCACGAGGACCCTTTTCCTCTACCAGCCTGCGCCGAGCGGCAGCGCCAGCAGCAGCGCGGGTGCAAGCAGAAAGTCAGCTTTGGGAGTGGAACGGTCACCCTGTCGCTGAGCTTCGAGGAGCCACAGAAGAACGCCATGGCCAGCAGGAACGCCAAGCGCCGGAACTCGCTGGAGGCCCAGAACAGTGACGACAGCCTGATGCGGCACCGGGCCCTGCTTCCCCTGCAGATCAATGAGCCCCTCGGGGCTGAGCCTGGCTTCCAGGCAGCTTCCAGCCCAGAGACCAGCTCACAGGAGTCGGTGGCAGGAGACAACAAAGAAGAGGGACCAAACCCTGAGGCAGAGCCTTCCCTGCCGTCGGTTAACTCCCGAAATTTTATAGGCGCCGGAGGTGGCTCTGTCACAGAGAATACGGTACATTCCTAACGAAAGAAGATTGCGAAAAGTACACCAGGCCCGAGAGGAACTTGCTCACCTCTTGCTTCTGAACGGGAAAGGTAACAAAGACACACTGCTGTGATACAGCCCCACCACACCTTAAAGTTAGCGTCGGCAGGGTAGCACATGTGCCTCCAGAGGAAGGACTGTGTCTGGGGAGCCTTGGACTGAATTTGCATTTGCTTTATTGAAACCAGGACATCTCAGAAGGACAAGTGAAGATCGCCTTGGGTGGGGCTTAAGCAGAAGTCTGCATGCTGCCTCGCCTCCTTAAGCTTTTCCTGCCAGACTGCAACTCAGCTGACTATGGGAGGCACTAGGCAATTCCACTATACCCTGCTTTTACATTTATGTATAATATTCCTCTTTCCCACTATGTATGATATTCCCTCTTTATCCAGTATATGTGATCTGTAACCATGTGCGTCAGGACTCTCAGCTCTACAAAAGCAAGGTACACGGTTTCACTTCAGGAAAGCACAATCATGGGGAAAATAAAAAAGCCCCCAACATCCTGCATGCTGTGTACAGCCAAGGGTGTGAACATGTAAAGTATTTAATGTGACAGAGCGCCCTGCTATTTATATTTAGTAATGTCCCAGTCTCTCCTTTCAGCCCAACAGGAAATACTGGACAATACTCTCCGTAGACTCCATTGCACTAGACCAAGCTACTTAGGTTCCTACTGGTTTCCTCCAACTGGAATAGCTTTACCTCCAGCCTGCCTGCTTTGGTGGAGGGGGAGAACAGCTTGTAAAGCCCTCCCAGAGAACGCTGCAAAAGCACAATGAGATGTATCCCTGATTATGTCGCTAGTAGTTGTGTGCTTAACCAAGTGTTGCTGCTGTACTATCCCACAAGGCATACATGGCTAACCCTTTCACACCATAGTCAGTGTTGTGCTTTGCTGTATTAATCTGCCTCACACCTACACAGAACATTGCGACAGTCCTGGCGGTACTGGTGGGCCTGACACAGCAAATGAAACAAGGGGAAATGGAGGAGTTAGGGATGGAGGAGGTAATGGGATCACCAGAGCAGGTGAATATCTGAAGTGTTCATGATGGTAGATGACTGGGTGAGAAAGACATTCAGGCCTAGGTTCTTAGACACACATAAGTGACAAATAGATGAACTGAATACAGTTTTGCTCCTAAAGGCCACCTACTAGGTTATTTCTCAATTTGAAGAGAGGTGGACGTATCACAAGAATGGTGGGCTGTACCTAACGCAAAACACTAAGGATGTCAGCAGAGAGCATAGCAGAACTTGATTACTCTTGTCCTACTCTTCCTAAAGCAGACATAAGTGCGCCTGGTTTTTCAAGGCATGCCTCGTTCTTTTTGATTTGTGCTGGAAAAGTTGAAGAGAGTCATTTGCAGAGAGATTTGTTGCAGCCTGATGAGAGAAGAAACATCCCTGGACAGCCTGGAAGGGAGGGCTAGGGTTACATTGCAGAATTTAATTCCTTCTTCCCAGATTCCCCATGGAAGATCAAGCATCTGTCAGGAAGATGTCAGTACCCTCCCTCATTGAGCATGAAGGTAGTCTAGACCTCTTCTAGAAAGGTAGATGGGCCTGCAGCTCAGTGTGAGAAGAGACAAAAGGACTGTGTTCAAATGCATTGGGGGAAACACCACAACTCTCTTGTTATTGTTTTTGCTTGGTTGTTCTTCTGCCAGGGCAGGCAAATAAAACTTACAGGTGAGATTACTGTATAAAAACTTTGTTTTGCCACCTCCACTTGTTGACAAGGAAGAGAAGTTTTGACTAACAGGAGCAAAGTGGAAGTCCAGAATCCGAAGAAGCAGGCTATTCAGACCAGTTGTTATAACCCTTTTGTTGATCTGTTACATCCCCCTTGGACTGGGCTCAAATTTTAACTACACCACATAAGGACCAACTCAACTATAATTGCAAGGCTTGCAAATCACAATATTTGATTAAAAATCTGACTCAGATGATTGAGGTGGGAGGGGGAGGGAAGTGAGTTTGAAAACACAAATCTTTCCAGCCCAAATTTTGGAAACTACATTTTGCCCCTGGACCCAGACAAGAGATGCTTACTGCTTCTGAAACCTAGGTCCCTTCCCCAGGCTGCTGACTGTGGCAGTGGGCTCAGTTTAGGGTACGGAATTGAGCTCCAGGGGCTCCTGAATCTAACTGCACAAGCAGGGATGAGCACTAGATGGCAGAGAGGTCTAAAAAAGGCATTTTGGTTATGGCCTACACTTCCAAAAATTCCAATAGCCAAGTAGTTTTAGTGCTAGTGAATCATTTCTACTGGAGCAAACCCAGCTCAACAACCCTTGAAGTGAAGCTGACAGCACTGAAACATGTAAGAGTTCAATGAATGAAATTAAAATAATACCATTTACTTGTGCAAACCAAAGACTGTGTACAAACACAGGCAATGTAAGAAACAGAAAGTCACCATCAGCTGCCTTGTCTGGAGAGCAATATTCACTAGCTGTGTATACTAGCTATGCATTTGGGTGCTTTTCATTCCTTGGGTGTTTTTAATTATTTACATTTACTTAAAAGGAATTTATACCCTGGCACACAATGAGTCTCCAAGAGCTGCAATCATTTTTTAGCATGGCCAACTGCACTGTATTTGCTGGGGAAGCCCCTTTCACCCTCCGTGCTCTCATACATGGAGTCCTAAGCCTGCAGCTCCAATGCTGCATGAGAGCTGCTGCTGCAGCTGATAGCAGCGCACACACGCTGGACACAAGGGAAGTTCAGTAAAAAAGGACCCCTTTGGGAAGGTGCTTTGTAACCAAATCCCTTTTCCCATGCAAGGAGAGGTGGATATGTTCTCATCCTGTGAGGTCCAGGAGAGGAGAAGGCTTGCTCCGGACAGCACTCATGAAGTCATGCTGGGGAACATTCTTCTGTTGAAAGCCTGAGCACCTCCACTGACATTTCCTACCAGAAGATGCCCACATGAATGCCTCATCCCACCCACCATGGCTCAAAAATCCACCAGAAAGTTTGCCTCAGTGTGAGGTTTCCTGAACTGTCCAGTGCGAAACAACAACAGTGTATCAGGTCTCTGGTGGGATTTCCACTGCAAAACTTGGGAACCACCTCAGTGAAGAGCCCAACCCTTCATTCCCAGTCTCCTGACAAGCCTGGCAGAACTCTGCCTACTGAAAGCCCCAGCAGAGGCTTTATTTATAGACTATACCAGAGGAAAGAAAACCTTCCCCATTATATTTCATTATATTTCACCATGTCCTCCTCATCAATCCGTGAGCTCTGTTCAGTTTGTAATACCTGCTATTGTTAAATTTAGGTTTATATTGACCAAATTTACCAAGGGGTGCTGCCAAGTGGGAGGAGGAAGGTAGGTGTTTGTTGTTGGTTTTGCAAGTCTGGATGTTTAAATTGTGAGGAAATTTAGGTAAAGACCTGAATGTTCAAACTAAAATCTCCCCAGGGATGTCCCAGAGGTTGGGTAATTCACCACCGCCTTCAGCTTGCTGGCTGGGGGGCGGCAAAATCAGCGTGGGAGAGGGAATGATGAACGTGGTGAGCGAGGGAGTCGGGAGACGGCCGCTTCCAGGCGGCGGAGGGAGCGGGGCGCTGCGGGGAAAGGCGGCGCGGGGAGGAACCGCAGCGGCTGAGGGCGGCGGCCCTGTCCCCTCCGGGCTGGCACGGAGGCGCCGCTCGCTGAGCAGCCCTTCCGTGCGGGGCGCCGAATAAATCCTGCCGGCAGCGAGCGTCGCCTCAGGCTGGTTTTGTCTTCGATCGGTCCCGCTGGGCCGCGCTGACCGCAGCCCGGCTGGGCGGAGCCGGGCCCGGCCGCTCCCGCCCGCGGGCTGCAGCCCGGCCCGGCACCGCCCGGCACGGCCGAGGGGCGGCCCCGGGCGGAGCGGAGCGCCGCTGCTGCCGCTGTGCCGCCGCTGCCATGTTGTGCGGGGGTGCCTCGGCGGCCCGGCCCGCCACCGAGGAGACGCAGCGGATCGCGGAGCAGGTGAGCGGCCGGGGCGCGGCCCGGGAGCGTCCCGCAGGCGGGGAAGGCCCGTGCGGGCCTGTCCGGGGCCCAGCGTGGGCTCGGCCATTGCTCCGCGGCTGAGCGCCGGGACGCCGCCCCCGGTGTAGAGCGGGGCAGGAACGGGCCGTGCGCGGAGCAGCCGGCGGCTCCCGGAGCTCCTTCCCTGCGGCCCGGCTGGCTCCGCGGGGCCGTGGGCAGCGCCGGGGAAACCCGGCAGAGCCACTGCCTTCAGCGAGCGAGCTCCTGTGCTGCTGACAGAATCCGACCCTGTGCATGCCTTTGGGCTTTCGTTCTGTGCCTGGGAAAGGGGGGATTGTTTGTTGTGTTTATTTTTGAGGGGGTGAAACGTGGAATAAGCAAGAAAGCTTCTTTGCTGCGTCTGCTTTTCCCCAACACAGAATTCGGCTCCAAATCCTGATACTACTTAAAGTACCTGAGGTTACTGCTCGTGTTATTGGAGCAAATGCTTTTACTCTAAAAACGCCATCGTGCAACTAAGTTCCTTCAAACCACACGTTCTTCTTTTTGTCACAGAAACTCAAGTTCCTTCTGCTTTTTGCCTTTGTCGACTAAGATGTGGTAAGCTAGAGAGCAACAGTTAAGAATGCGCTCCAGCTTCTGACACTTTGTCATTGCCTGAGCCTGTTCCCCAGGCAGGAGGAGTTCCCAAACACATACATAGCACCCAGAGGCACAGCAGCTACTGAAATGAACATTTGCCTTGTACAGTCTGAGGATTCTGTGTTTTAGGAAAAGGGAGAGATGTGCGTCTCCTAAGCACCAGCCTGAGTTTGCAGTAATAAGCACATAATTGAGAATTGCTGAGAGTTGCAATTATTGCTTTGACCTGAAAAGGCTTACATGTCACGTTAAAGGTAATGCAGATATGCACTTAACATGGGCTTAAAACTAGGTTTGAAATCCTGACTTTTTGTTCTGTAGCACACTGCAGTGGTTTGATAATCCAAAAACAAAACCCTGTTGGATTCAGAAGTGAGCAGAATTAACAAAAAAACCCTCATTTAAATCACGTAAATACTTTTAAAGTTTATCCAGCTTGTTTTGGCTGCCAGTTTAAATTACTTCCTTTAATGAAATACAGGTGGGAAAACTCACACTTGAAACTTGCCCATGCACTCAGATTCTCATCTGGACACTGCTGGAGAAAACATTAGTTTTGTTAAATCAATGTAGCCTTCTCAAATAATTTTGTTTGCTTAAAAGTCAGGTCTTTTTGGAGATTTATTAGAGTCTGCCAGTTTGCTTGCCATAAACATATTCCCCGTTCCTGCTTTTCCAGTTCTTGCCTTCATTTTACAGTTTCATAAGCATCCTTGTGATGGCCAAATGTTGTTCAGTTTTGTGACCCACAGCGGGTGTAGTGTCACACAGGGCAGGAAGGCTTCCTTTGGCAGTGTCTGGCTTAGGAATCCCATAGGAACAGCCTCCTCACAGCAAGGATTTCCAGCCAGGCCTGTTCAGCTTTGGCTCCTCACTGGTAATTGTGGCAGAGCTTATCCAGGGTGATTGTGAACCATCTGCTTTTTATTTAACTGCTCTGGCAGTGCAGGGCAAATAGGCCATGCAGGGCAGTGGAGAGTCTTCAGGGCATGATCATTTCCAGCCCTGTGACTGAATCATGGATTGTTTGGGTGGGAAGGGACTGCACCTCCTGCATGAGCACAGGGTCAGCATCCTCAGGCTGCTCAGAACTTTGTCCTGTCAGTCTTGAAAACTTCCAAGGATGGACTCCTGCTGTAGTGCAGTCCTCAGGGGAAAGGTTTCTCATGATATCCAGCCTGAACCTCCAGTTTCAGTTTATGACCACTGTGTCTCATTCTTGTGCCCTGTGGAAAATTTCATCCCTGTAAAGACCCTGGCTTCTTGTAGGTACTGGAAAGTTTTCTTCAAAGCCTTCTCTTCCCTGGGCTGAGTAAGCTCATTTTCTTCCTCTCCTCACAGCACAAGTGCTCCAGCCATCCTGGTGTGCTCGTGGAGTGCTCCTGGTGACCCTTCACTGGGCTCACTACAGTTCATTGGTGTCTGGCTTGTACTGGGGGCCCAGAACTGGGTGCAGGATTCCACATTTTCTGACAAAGGCCGAGTAAAGGGTAATAATCACTCCCCTGTCTTCTGGCTAGGCTCCTGCTGATGCAGCCCAGTATGCCATTAACTTTGTACCACTAGGACACAGTGCTGGCTCCTGTACTCCAGGATTCCCAAATCCAGACTGAGATCAAGAACCAGGTCTTTGGGAGAGTATTTCTGTCTGGGATCTCCCTCTGCACACTGAGGCAGGATGCTGGTTTGTCACATGCTGTGGTGACTCACAAACACCCTGACAAGCTTGCAGCTGCAGGACTCTGAGCTGTCTGTAGCCAGGGTCCAGTGTTCAGCTTCCTGGTGGAAACAAAAAATGTGCTGAGCTGGAGTGATTGAGTGACCTCAGAAACTAATGCTGCCCAGTGCCTAGGATTGCTAAAGGAGCACAGGACAGGATAGGGTCAGTGGGAGACCTATGTCTGCCCTGCTGCTTAAAATTTGTAAAAGTGTGATGAAAACTGAACACTTGCTCCAACCTCTGACTCGGGAGAAGGGGAGGAGGCAGGAGTGAATCATGGTGTTTCTTAGAATGCAGCTTGGATTCCCGTATGGCAAAGAACAAACAGGAAAGTGTTCAAACATCATTATCTTGCTTGTGACATACTGATCATAATCTGGAGGAAGTGTAGAGGTATGGCCTCTGAGAGGAGATAAAAAGCATGGTCACAGCTCTCAGGGACAGGATGGTCACTGAAAAGGCACCAGAGTTCTGGGAGTTGGAGAGGTGGGAGAACACACCCCATTGCAGGAATGGTTCTTCTGTTCCTGCTTCACCTACAGCACCTGACCAGTGGCAAGTTGGCACTTGTTTTCCCCCAAGGAAGCCTGTGGGATTTAGGCAGGAGTGCAGATGTATCTATTTTCCTTGCATTTAGAAAAAGGAGAAGTACACCATATGGCTGGAGGATCTACTCATTGCTGGTACTACTGCCTTGGGAGTGAAGGGAGAGCTGTGCAATGATGCTGCAGGAGGTGCAGCCTGGAGCAGGCAAGGACTTTCAAGCAAGGGCTCCAAGACTAACTCATCTTGGCTTGCAAAACAAAGGCTGAAATCTGCTTTCCTGACTAAGATTTTTCCATACAGCCACAACGTGCTAAGAGTGCCCAGTGCAGGAGAGAAGAGCTGCATCTCAGGAGTTCATGGCTCCCTCTTGGGTACTGAACAGGTTATTTTGACTTCTTGAGCACTGTTTTGCAATTTGAAAACACCGATTCCAACAGACACTGTCAGGTGTTTTCCAGACTTGGTGTCAGCCTGTACTGACTGACTCCCAGCTCTGGCTCAGTTTGTTACCTCCGCAGATTCCTGGTCCTGCTTTCACACAAAACTTAAGATGATTCATTTCAATCTTGGAAAAGTGGTAACTCTGTGTCTGGGAATTCAGCAGCAGTGAACTGTAAGCCTTAAGTCCTAAATACTTGAATATTGCATCAGTCTTAAAGAATCTATTGTTTCCTTAAGGTAAAAGCTCAGCTAGAAGAAAAAGAAGGGAAGACCTTTGATGTCTTCACTGCAGTGGAGTTTAAAACTCAATTGGTTGCTGGAACAAATTACTTCATCAAGGTAGAGCAACAACAACCTGGGTTGTTTCTTTTCTAATTAATGTGTATAATCTTTGGAATGGTGGGTTTTCCCCTTTCTTAACTAGAGGAGAATGCTTACAATTTGACCTTAATAAGAAAAAAAGTTGTGCATTAAAAAGCCACAAATATCCACCTCCCAGCCCCTCTCCCTGTGTTAAATAGAGATCATCTTTTCTCCATTTTCATGGGAAGATTAGGTGGTATTTCTGCAAAGTCATGGCTCCTAGTCTGGTTTGAAACAAGTCAGTGTTTTTTCTTACTGCCTGTGTGCTGCTCCATCCTCGAACCAGCCCAACCTCTGCCACCCCTCCTGCTGCAGGTTGCTCCCCCTGCAGGGATCTTCTCACTGGGTTTCATGCTTTGCAGGTCCACGTTGGGAATGAGGAGTTCCTGCACCTGCGGGTGTTCAAGAGCCTCCCCCACGAGAATGAGCAGCTGAGCCTCCACAGTTACCAGGGCAGCAAGACAAAGCATGATGAACTGGCTTATTTCTAGCAACCTTCTCTGCTGTGTTTCCCTTGCTGGTTCTTATGTGCATTTTCTACAGGCTGCAAAATGTTGATTCCTGTGCCAGCAAAGGTGGAAAAGAGTGTTTTTTGGTTTTTTTTATCATGGTGGAAAAATCAATTTCTTTTATGCCATTCTCTTCCTGTGCAATCTCCAAACTTGAAAGTCACAGGGTTCTCCTATTACCTGCACTAATGTAAATCCTACTTTTATTGCAACTTAGCTTAGGCTTTAGTGCAACTTAATGAGAATACTGTTTGTGGACTTCCTTGATCTGGAAATCAGAAGGGGAATGACACCAGCACTCATATATTTGCAGCAAGGAACAAGAGTGTTGTTTTATAACTGTGAATATATGTGTAGATTTAAACTGTACTTTGTATTTTATGGGCAAAGACCTAATGAGAGACTCGACCTGAAGCGATTTTGTAAGGAAGAGAAAGAGGCTTGCAGTAGTTAGAAACAAACATTCCCTTGGTAATCATGCTCATCTTCTTGCAGCAGTAGCATGTAATGTCCTGTAGAGGGTGTGTGAGTTTAAAATACCAAACCAGCTTGTTTATGTTCTTGGTCCTATTGCAAAGTCCTGGAAAGGAACTTAAGCTGGATGAGCATTTATGCATTTATAACAATAAGCATTTCTTTTGACTTGAGATGGCATCTTTGACTGGTGCTTTAGTGTTCTCTTCTTTGGTTTTCACTATTGGTTATTATCTTGCTCAGCTTTTTTTTCCTTAAATGTTTTTTATATTCCAGCTTTTTTCCCTTAAGTATTTTTTATATTCCAGGTAAGGTTATGTTTATTCTATGTCTTAATTGGAAATACTTTGTTTTAGTCTTGTGACAGACATGAAAGATAACAAGATCCCTGCAGGTATATCAGCAGCAAAATGAAAATACGGACAATATTATTTTATTTACTTATTTTATTTACTGTTATGGGCAGAATCCCCATAGGATTTGCAGAGGTGAGGCACTGCAACACATCATGTCTTAGAAGTAGGTCAGAGGGTCTTCCTTGCTTTTGCCAGTCTGAAAACCGACAAGGCTGGGACCTGCGTTCTCATGAGGAAGACTCTCAAACACCTTCAAGTGGACATACTCACCATCAGAAACCTGGACCTAGAAACCAAAAGAATAGGCAAGTGAGGATCATGGGCTCAAAGCAGGTTCAAACAAAAGGCTGTTTCTTTACATTCTTGAAAGAACATCTTTGCCAGGATCTTAATTTTAGATGTACTTTCATTTTTACTTCAACAGCTCTTACCAAAGTTTGGATAGTAACTGGTGGCAGAAACTGTCTACACCTGTAGAAAACTGTATTAAAAACCCTCAGACTCAGGTGAAGGGAGAATGAGCAGAACTGCTTGGGTGTGGAAGCACCAGAAGATGCAACAGGAGACAGGTTTTGATGGTGTCTGGTTTCAGTCACCAGGATGTCAGCACATTTGCTCACAGCCTCCTGATACACTCGTAGGAGACAATGAGGAAATCTCCATGATTTGGGGGGTGGGACACAGTGCAAACACCATGTCACCTCCCAAAGGGTACAGAAAGATCTAATACATAAAGACCTGCACATGGTCCTGAGAAGCAATGACAACCTGAAAGCCAGGATCCCTGGTCTGCAGAGTTATTCCAAACACATCAGTGCCTGAACAGGGAACCTGACATACCCCAGTGCTTTTGGGAGTGCATGGGAGTGCCTGCAATAAATACTCTTCCAAAGAAATTTGTCTTCCCTCCTAGAAAGTCCTCACATAAAGACTTGGTAGGAAGCTGTAAAATTTCATTCTTAGAGAGCCAAACACAACAGGTGCCAAACTCTCCCTTGGTGAGGAACATGGCAACTTTAATGCCTTAGGCTCCAAAAAGTTTTTACGTGCTTTCTGGTGGCTGTAGTGGGGCACTATGCTTGGTCTGGGTTCCAGCTCAGCTGTAAGTCTGCTGGTGAAACATCAGTGAGGTGGAAGATTCAGAAATATAAAAGAATGAATCTTGTTTAATGCTAAAATGAGGAACTGTTTTCCATCACTAGTAAAATTGGGAAAGAAGAGACAAATCATCCATTTCCAGTGCTACAAATTAATTTCTTCAAAGTTCAGTAATACATCAATCTTTGTTCCTGAGTTGAGAGTTCTTTTAAGGAAGCACCTGGGAAAGAAGAAGGTTTGGCAGCATCTGTCCTTCCTGATATCAACTAAGTATGAGAAGTATGGAGCTAATGCTCGCAGTGTCTCTCTGCAGAATTACTCTCCCCCTGACTTTACAGGCCAATTCCTCTAACAAAAGAATTATTCCCATTCCCTTGGAATACGACATGCCCTGTCAGGCACATGCCCACGCACACATGAGGTTTCAGCAGTCACAGGCCATGCCTGCTCTGCTCCGAAGGCCAGCCTGCTGCTCAGCAGTGCTTGCTGGCCTTCAGAGGAAAAATACACCCAGCCATTTCTTCTGTGCTACTTCACAGCAAGCTGCTCACATCCATCGGTCAGGGTTTCCAGTAGAGGAGGAATGGTGCTATCAGAGGGCTCCAAATTAAGCATTACCCATTTTTCCTCTGCAGCAGAGAGGGGGTTTTGAAAATACAGAAAGAACCAGCAGGCAGGCTGTACCTCTGCAGCACCTGACACAGAACCAAAACATCAACACACCTACTTGCATGCAAAACTAGCCAGCAGATGTGTGTACTGCATTATCTTTCCATTGGTTCCTTAAGCTGATTTCAATTTCATCCCAACAAACACAACTGAAGGACTCGGATATTATTCTGCCTTGAAAGGAAACAGGGGACTAGTTATACTCATTGAAATAATTTGAGTTGGGAAAGCAATCTATAGTCCTTGAGGGGGATGATCCCAAAAAGCTTACCAGTCACATCTGAATAAGCACAGCACATTTTTTGTATTCCTGCTTACAGTAGTGCCAAACAGAGGAATTTAATAAGCATTTGGAGGTAGTCCCCACTTCTGTTACTCAGACAGTTTCCTATTATGTTTGCTCTCTTGCTAGCTGTAAGCCACTCTGCCAGTCACCTGTATAATTTCATTCCAAAACACTCCCTCCTACAAGATATACAAACCTTAATAAAGTACATTGTCCCAGCAACCACTTGAGTCTTATATATTATGGCTGTAAAGACAGCACAGTTCGTGTTTGCCTGGCTTTGAAACTGTGGCTTCACCTGTAAAAAGAAAGGGAAAAATGATTGGCAGGTTGATACTTGGGGATTTTTTTCACATATACCACTCCAATTTTCATCCTTTCACACATACTCCTTAACAAATCTCCACAAAGTGACTGAGAGCACCCTCAAACCCCTTGTCCAAATCATCAATAAAGATGTTAATCAGAGCTGGCCCCAACAAGGAGCCCTGGGTGCACCACCTCAGACCAGACAGATGCAACCACCTCTCCCTGGGCCTGGCTCCAGCCAGTTTTTTCACCCAGTGAGCAGTGCACCTGTCCAGGCTTCTTCAGTAGAATGCTGCAGGAACTGGAGCCTCAGGCTTTACTAAGGTCCAGGGAAACAACATCCACAGCCTTTCCCTCATCCACTCAACATGTCGTGGAAAGAGATCAGGTTGGTCAAGCAGAACCTGCCTTGCATGAACCCATCCTGGCTGGGCTTGAATCCCTGGTTGCTGCACACGCTGTGTGATGGCACTCAGGATGAGCTGTTCCTTGACCTTCCCTGGAACTGAGCTCAGCCTGACAGGTCTGTAGTTCCCTGGATCCTCCTTCCTAGCATTCTTGTAGATGTTCTTTTAGAGGGGCATCAAATTAGCCAAACTCCAGTTGTGTGAGACCTCCCTGATTCACCAGGACCACTGGTAAACCATGGACAATGGCTTGGAGAGCTCTTCCATGAGCTCCCTCAGTACCCTCAGGTGATTCCATCCAGCCCCATAGATTTACACATGGAGAAGCAGGTCACTGTTTCCTGCTGGATTGTGGGGGCGTTGTAGTGTTCCTTGTCTCTGTCTTCCAGCTCAGGGAGCTGGTACCCTTAGGACAATTGCTCTGACTACTAATGGTTGAGATTAAGAAGGGTTTAAGTACCTCAGCCTTTTCTATATTTTTTGTGGCAATGATTTCCCCAACATCCAGCAAATGATGGAGATTCTCCTTAGCCCTCTTTTTGTTGCTTATGTATTCTTTAGAACACTTTTTGTCATTGCTTTTGGCAGTGAACAGAGCTAAGTCCTAAGAGGGGTTTTGCCTTTCTGACTTTCTGCATAACCTCACAACACCTTTGTAATCCTGAATTGCCTGCCCCATCTTCCAAAGTTTATAAACTATCTTTTACCCTGGGTTCCAGCTAAAACCCTCTCTTCAGCCAATCCAGTCTTTATCCCCACCAGCTTGTCTTTTGGTATATGGGGACACCCTGCTCTTGCACCTTTAGGATTTCCTGGATTTCCTTCTTGAAGAATGCCCAGGCTTCCTGGATCTCTTTGCCCTTCAGGACTGCCTCCCAAGGGACTCTTTCAACCAGTCTGCCAAAGTCTTCCCTCCAGAAGTCCAAGGTTTTGCTGTTGCTCTTCCTTACTTCTCCAAGAATTAAAAACGCTCCCATTTCATGATCACTGCATGACCACCACACAGAAAGCAGAGACAATCCCTCCTAGGCTGGGTGACACAGTGCTCCTCTGCACGTGACACCCACACTGATGCCCGGATGCATTACTGAGCTTGGGCAGAGGAGCAGTGTCAGTGCCAGCCTGCTCAGCCTGCCCTGGGCCAGGCCCGCAGTACCTCAGCGTTTCTCACTACCCACCTGTTTCACAGGAACCCACTGAATTAATTAACTTTCCCAGCACAAGCACCTGCAGCTGCCTGCCACTCCCATGACATTCCTTCCTAGCAGGAAGGCCACAGAAAGCGTCCAAGAAACATCCAGATCATTTCCAAAGAGCCAGAAATTATCATCCTATTCAGCTTCCTCATGATCTCTTACACTGCTCTTCTGCTGAGTAGCTTCCAAAGGGCTTCTATCCCCAGGAACAGACAACTATACTTTCAGCTGAAGAGCTGCTAACTCTGGCAAACCAGGGAAATTTTAATTCCCAACAACCTTCCAGCTGACTGGGGCAGGGGGCTCCTAGAATGCGCTAAGTAGCAACTTTTGGTGCATGATACTCCTTCTCAGAATAAAGCAAAACAAAGTCACTTCTCTCCAGTTTTGCTCTCTCTCCTCTGGCCACTGTATCCCCTATTTGTTAGTTACAGGCTGAGCCATCAGTAAAATCAAGAAGAAAAACAGATCCTTAATCCTCAGGTGAAAAAATGTAACATTCCTAGCTCTTATCTAACAGCATCCTAAACCCAAAACATTCCTCAGTTTTGGGCAACAGCTGTAAAACAGGGATACCAAATAAATCACATTCCTCAGCTCACTAATGATGGCTAGATACAAGGCACAGGTATAAGTAAATAATTGTGTAATCTCATGAGCAGACAGACCTTGAGCATCCCAAGTTCTGCAAATGCTCTTCACAGCTTCACTGAAATCATAGGAATTGCTTCTCTGCTCAGCAGAGCATAAAAGCCCCCAGAAATGCTTCATGAAATGGTGACACCTATGCTGGAAGGACTGCAGGATTTCCCCAGCATAAGGTTTCCATAAGAATATTTTCCATAGACAACTGTACCAAAGCCTCTGGAAAGGGGGAAAGGAGCGGGAAGAGTTCTCTCTCCTGCTCTCAGCACAGGGCAGAAATTTCACCTTGAAGAAAATAAAGAGCAAAGAACAATCTGTATTCATTTTCCTGAAGTTACTGAGAACAAAAGAACACTAAAATTAGGATCAGTCCTTTTCTGGAATCAAACAGAAACTTTGCACTATCCACATTTCAGATTCCATCTATACCCTGTACTCCGGGGGCATTAACACTGCCTGAAACCAGCATTCACATTTTCAAGTGCCTGTTTGCTCACAGACACCCAAGTGCTGTGGTTACACCTCCAATACACACTGCAAGACTTCTGATGACCCATAAATAACACAGCCCAGCATTGAAAATGAAGCTCAGTATCTAGTATGGTGCTTGAGGCATTTCACAGACTCATAAATTAAATTTCACAGCCCTCAGCTGGCCCCATCTTAAACATGAGGAAACAAGAATGGCAAATAAACAAAGGTGCTACAAGTCCCTTGCTAGGGTCTTCCCTCCATAGGTAAAAAGGGAATTTCTGATCTCTGCAAGTGCTGCTCTTTCAAACATTCCTGCCAGCATAGAAGAAAGAGTTGTACTGCTCCCAACTAATTCAGTTAGTGCCTCCCAACAACTGTAGACCATTCATTTCTGTTCTGCAGTAAATCCATTTCTTCTCTGCAGTAAATCATCTCTGACTAACCAGTTACCCCAAACTCCAGCCCTCCCTCATGTACATGCCCCAAACTCTGGTGACCCCAGCTGTGACTGACCAATAAAGCCCTGTAATGGAAGAAGGCTCAGAGGAGCTGGGGAGGGTAATGGTTCCACCCATGAAACTCAGGGAATAATGCAGGGTGTCACTGACCACAGCTTTTGCAAATGAGTTGACTTTATCTCAACGCAAAGGTTGACCACAGGGTGTTTTTGATAAATATCTCTGTCAGTGCAGGGGACAATGTGGTGGTGTAACTACCCGAGTTCAGTAAGAGAAAGTGAACACGCCCCTGAGTTAGCCAGACCAGCATGTGGGGAGTGAACACATGGCTCTGCCCAACCCTGAGTATAAAAACTAAATGGTTGGACAAAAGCATTTTGAAGAAAACTGCTGGCTAGAGCTGACTTCAACCCACATCCCCCTTCCCAGTGACTCAGGATGCCCAGTGTAGTGACACGGAGGTTATTGTACACCAGCAGTGCAGAGCACGCTGGTATCCTCAGAGAATTGGGATTGCAGTCGCTACATTTTGCTAAGAGTAACTTAGACCTGTATCAAGTTGCCAGCATATTTGTATCACTCTGCTAAATCAGACACATGGAATAACATGGAGTATCTTCTAATCAGTAAACTGGATGTTAAAGTTATCCCCTCCACCTGTGGACTACAGAAAAGAGCCCTGTCAGAATACTGGGCTGCCTGGTCTCAGTTGCAAGATCATGGAAGATGTGGGAGGATGCTTGATGGAAGGATGTGCAGACTCTGTCCTCAGTGGCACAGCAAAGGAGAGAGCTGGGAGCCCTGCACATCAGGTATAGTGAGTGTGCTGCAGTGTTGCCAATGCATTCAGCTCTGCTACTTCCTGGTTTTGTCTTCTCAAAGAGTGCCCAAGTGCAATTGCCAAAGGGACAAGAGCTCATCTTTCAGAGGCAGAAGAGTGAAGACAATTGGGTGGGTGGGTGGAAACCCCTTTCATTCCTCAGGATGCGTTTTGTGCCTTCATTAAAAAGAGCTGCTGCACTGCAGGGCATCAGAGGATCGCATCTGTGTGAGGTGCTGCTCACACAGCTCTCCAGTTCAGGACCACTGCCTGTAACCAACCACCTGGCAACTGGGCTCACTTAGTGGCCTGCCTTGTGCCAAGCTCATCTTGCCCCAGCAGCAGCCCCTGTATCACAGCTGTGACTCTAGAAAACACATAATGCCAGCAGGGAACACACAATTTAAAAGCTTTTTGCTGCATTTATAATTCTTTATTGCATACTAGCATCTGGTTTGTCCTACACAGTCCTTCACTGAGGAATGAACTCTATCAGGTACAACCTTTTCCCTTCCAATATGCCACCTCTCATTTCAAACAAGTGACCTCACTGCTGGCGTAGCAGAGCCGGGCTTGGAACTTCACACAGACATTAACTGAAGGTAGCCAGTACCATGCCTGGCCATGGACGAAGAGGAGACAGAGAAGTGGTTTGTCTCAGTCTTACCAAGGCACTTCCTACATAGAATGCTGAGAAAACACTGGCAGTCGAGGGGATTCCCACTTTCAGCATGAGCTTCTTCAGTTTAAAACCTGTCTCAGTCTCCCAGGCTTTACACAAGCTTCAGGAATAGCATCTTTGCACACAACTTAATCTAGAGAGAGGGTGCAACTCACCTGGTTAGCAAGCTGCTGAACTTCTGGAGTAGCTGGCTTGGCCTCAGATAAACCCCCAGTCATCATGGTGGCAAGTGACTTCTCTGAAATGGCGAGCAGCTCTGAAGAGGGAAGTTCAGCGCAGTCTGAGCAGAGTCCCCAGGCATCTCACATATATACACACACACACATGTGTCATAGAACCATGTGACCTGCAACACACGGAGCCTACCATTACTGAACTGGAGGAGACAAAAGGGGAAAAGGGGGGGGGAAAGCAATGTAAAGCACTGGCAATATTACTAATAAATGTAAAAAGCACTCAAAGAAATGTTTATGGTCTTCACATCCAAAAGAAAAGCAGACATCAGCCTCCAGTCACCCACATCTTAAAGAGTTGGTTTGGGCTGCAGCTGAAATCTCTTGCCTCCCCACCCAAATACAGATGACTAGGCTGAGGTCTTGAGAAACAAATCAAAGACACACCCAGTATTTCCCAATACCTTTACTGATCAGAGGATGATGCAGCACTTGCCTTAGCGAAGGTCCCGTTAAACTTGAAATTTTAATCTCTCAAAATCCTTCTAAGTGGGGAAACAGGAACAGACAGCATTTTACATTCAGTGACTTGACTTCCCTCTGCCTGACCAAAAATATGCCAAGGTAAACACCAGCATCAGAAGTAGAAAATAATTCCATCCCAGATTCAGGTAAGTACTGAAAATAAGGTATTTCTGCTCCTTTCCCATCAAACCAAGAGCTGCATTCAGGCAATCATAATAGCAACTGAATGTGCAATAAAATCTGCTTTTTAACTCTAGTGCCAATTTCCTGGAAGACAAAGTACAATCAAAAAACACAAAAGCTGTCCCATTTTCAACGTATGCTGTTGAAACAGATCACATGAGAACATACAGTCAGAAGTATTCATTCTGCAGTTAGTGTCATGGCACAATCAGACTCACGAATGTGAATGCACGAAGCTCAAATCCAACTGGGGGAAGGCTAATAACTGCTAGCAGCCCTCCCTGGTAAGGGAGAACTAACACTTGAAGACCACAGATAAAATTACTCCCTGTCAATATTCCTGCCATCCTCCTCAGCAGCAAAAAAGAGGAATGTTGTTCCACAGCAAGTACCAGAGAAGCAGGAACAGACCAGACACTTTTTAGTCTGTAGGGGCAGGTACATGGCAGCACATGAAATGAGAATATGTCCTGCACACAGGCAATGGGCATTTCTGCTGGGATCAGTATTAGGGAATTTGCTAGGAAGAGGTGGGTTTATGGCCATAGCAACTTCTCTGTGTCCTACCCATACTACTGAACCTCCTCCTCACAGATAACAAATGATGCAAGACACTGTAAAAAGTACTTCAGATCTGACTTCAAAACCAGGGGATTTGGTACAAAGCCCCTGAGATTGAGAAACTGGGGCTGTAGGAGCCCTACACTCAACAGTATTGATGAGTATTACAGCATGTTACTGAAAAAGATACTGCAGAATTTTCTAGACTTGAACAATAGTGCTATGGAAGCAGACAAAAAGCATTTGAGGAAAGTTCATTTTCCTGAGACAATATTTTTGTGAACAGAGAGAAAAATCCTTCCTATACTCAGGAATAAAGGGAGTGGCAGCTGATAAAACTGGAATTCTGTCATTTTCAACAACTTCTCTCCAGATGAGGAGTTCCTCAAAGTCCTATTCATGGAGCTGATGACAACTCAAATCTTCTTTTGCATAGGAGCTTGCTGATTCACTCAAATGCTGATCATGTTCCACCACCCCTTATTCATACAGCAGGACAGATAAGTTAAGGAACTGGAAGACCCAGTTCACCTTACTAAGGCCAGAAATCAGAGAATGTGTCCAACAACTGCACAGCACCAGTACTAAAACAGGGTATTTTATAAACCTGTCCACTCACCAGGACACAGATCCTGCTAACTTCCTTGGGAAGGGATGTTAAGATCCCTAGGGCAGTAGTACATTCCTGGAGAACTCTTGATTTTGTCTAGCAACAAATACACTGAGCACAAAGTCTAGGAGGGTTCACTTATAATTTTGGAAAGAATCTAGGTGTGAAACTGAAGATATTAATGTTGCATGGAAATCATTCACTCCATATTTCTGGGTTTGCTGGTTTTTTACTTTAAAGCAACTTTTTTTTCCCTAGAATGCACAGTTTTGCAGAAGGGGAAAAAAAATCACGCCTAAGTATCAGCAAGTTGATGCTGAAGTTTACAGAGGCAAACAGACTGTTTCCTTTCCATGGCAGTACTAATGGCTCTCCCAAAATACCAAAAAGTGGTATTTGTAAGACTGGGATGCAGTACTCTCATCCTGCACAAGTATTTCATGAAACCACTTTGAAGTGCTGACATTTCACAGACCTGTGATCAAAGATAACCATAGGCAATTGATCAACATTATCTGGGGCAACCTCCACCTCCAGCCACCCTTCTCTACATCAAGTTTTGGATGTAATGAACCAGGATTTGGAGCACTGCCTTGAAAAGAACAGCTGCCTCCACGTCATCTCTTGCACAACAAGGTGAGTGTACCCCCTGTGATGTTTGAGATGTGGCTGGTATCACGTACCAGGTCAGTCTACTCTCCATCAGCAAAACTGGCAGCTTCCTCTCATGACACTGTGCTGCTGTTATCCTGGAGAATCTCTGCTGGGAAACCACCACTGGCATTCTGTACAGCTTTGAAGCTGAGTAACATCTTGCACCATGTACTATTCCAACACAGAAGAAACAGATCTTTACCATTGGCAGACCACTACCCTCCGGTCCTGTTTAAGCAATTTTAAGAGTGCCAAGCTATTGCTGATAAAAACACCAGTACAAAAAAAAGCAAAAAAAATTAACCTCCACCAAATCCAAACCCCAGGGTTATGTATTTACAAGTAATTTTTAAAGCAGGAATGAAGTCAGCTCTGTAGAAATGATTGTGAAAGCCAAGTCAGTAAGGTCAGTCTTCTGGTTTCACAGTGACATGTAATTGTGGCTGCACATGACATGATCTGAATGTCTTTAAGAGCTTCTAGAGGAAAGCAGCCCTCCATGTACCAGGTGAAGATCTGCTCTCATCATCACAGGAACAGCCTTGATTTTCAATGTGCTGGTCTGCAAAAAAGGCTTCCACTCCTGCTACCCATCCCAATTTTGAAAGATTTCTGACATTGTACATGAAAAAGGATCAACAGAAACCTGACCTTCAGCAGCACAGTTATCATGGCCCAGCCTATGCTGAGCCTCTTCCTCTCAGTCTGCTTCAAGACAACTGAAATCTACTGTTAAAAATATTCTATAAAGAAATTACCTGTTTCATCAGTCTTTCATGCCTACAGGCTGCAGAAGACAACAGCACTGAATGCTAGAAAAAGAACAACACATCTTTCTATTTCACAGAAAGAAAGGTGCACAAGCTTGAGAGGACTTTCCAAGCATGTGGGATCTGCCCACCTCTGTTCACCACCTGCAAGCAATGGGAAAGCCCTAGTGGGAGAGGCAAGGCATCCACAGGACTCTGGACACGGCCATCAGCTATGCTCAAATGTCTTTACTTGCAGAAATAGAACTTAAAACCAGAGAAAGGAAGAAATTCTGCTGTTTGTAGTGTCCACTATTTGACCCCAATATGACAGCAAACAGTAATTTTGTAACTACCTCAATGGTAATGTTGAGGCAAGGTTCAATCCCTGACTAAACACCATCCTGGAATCCTCAGGGGTCCCTAGACACAGAATTTACCGGCCTGTGTTCAGTGTGGCACACAGCTCACACCGATGCTGTTTGCACACATTCCAGAACATCCTGCTCCACACGCAGCTCTGAGGCTCTCAGGAACCAGCAGAGCCGTGTCCTCCAGCCCGCACCCAAAGCGTGGCATGCACTTCTATTTACTCACCTTCATGTTCCATCAAGTTCAACAGCAACGTTAAGCTGCCTCTGAGCCACCAGATTTGCTGTGGACTACTGTTAAGAGACACCCCCTGCACTCAGAGCAAACTGTATAAAGCAATTCAATGTCTTACTGCAACCCTCTGTATGCAATCACCCCAAGAAGGGATGCTGGGGATTCAGGAGTCTTCTCATGGTAGCAGTTTTCCATACTCAGGTTTGTATAGGACTACTAGCTTGGCCTTATATTCAAACTGAAAATAATTCTGTGTTGGGCTGAGTTTTTGGGGTTGTGGGTTTTGGGATTTTTTTAACATAGTTTTCCTCATAACTAATGCAAAAAAAAGAAAAAAAAAAAAAAAACTGTGTATCACATCCATTTCACAGGTAATTTATCACAGCATCTGCTTAAGTGAAGAAGCTTTCCACAACAGCTGAGCAAACATCTGGATGGATAAAGGAAGACAATGATTAATTCTCATTACAGTCTCTAGTTTATACAGAAATAAAAAATTATTATTTCAAGACTATTGACCCAAGTCTACACACACTCATAGAAGTTTCTATTGTACAACTGGCTAAAAAGGAGAATTTGTCCTTGCAGTTGATCCAAGGCCTGGAGAGAACAAATATTTTAGACACCTATCCTTGTAGAGTGTCTAATAAATAATGAAGTACCAGCTTTGAAACCAAAACTTAGTGTTCTATACATCTCATTAATTGATCATCGTCTCCTGTTGAAATTTCTTTAGTGCCAATTCAGCCCAGAGTGATGAGCAGTATTTGATTTACACTTTGATGACAAACAATTATAAGAATTTAACAACTGAAGAATAAACACATTTTCTGCTTTCAGAGTTGCAGAAAAACAAGGAGAAATCTTCAAGAATGAGTGCTCCAACGCAAAGTTCTGGATAAAGAAGTTGCAGTACTTCAAGAAAAAAAGAGGGGGAAAAATGATGTTTGAACATTAGGATTTACATCCTCAAAGATTTAAAATATATTTCTACTTCATTCTCAAAAAAAGGTGAGATAAAATGACCCTGATGCCTAAAAATAAAAGGCTTCCAAGCAGTTTGAGTCTTAACTGCAACTATAAAACAGATGCTGCTGCACAGATCTTTGCCAGCTCTCAGTAACACAGGTACATTGCTTCATTTATTTCCCACTCCCTATATATGCAAAGCTTTAGGGATGTGAGAGTATATCCAGTAATTTCATTGCTGTTGCTGAATTCCAAAGTATTTGCAAGACAGGGCCTGTATTTTTAGGGATCTGTTTAAGTTCAGTGGTTCTTAAGATCGTATCAGCTGGCAACCACGCAGACCTTGTCACTTCACTGTCAGCCTATCTGAGATAAATACAAAATAAAAAGTAAAATATACAGGTGTAATTGCAACAATTCAGCTTTCCTCCTACTTATCTGCCTTTAAATGCTGTGTTACTGCAGGGGTGCTGCATTCAAGCTTTCTAAACACAACACCACGGCCAGGATCAGCAGGATCAAGTATGCACAGCTGTTTCCTCAGCTCAAACACAATTCACCCTTAGAACTACTCTTAAATATTCAGAGAGAGGGACAAAAAAGGGTCCCTGGCAGTCTCATTCCCAAATGAGACACATCTTCAGCTCCAACGTTACGTGGTTTTAATATACACCACTTCCCCTGTACAATGGAAAACTCCAGAACTTGCAAACACAGACCAAAGGGCAGCAAGCAACAGATGCTGCCTGTCAGCATTGCAGGAGCAATGGCAAACCTGTGCCTATACACAGCTCTGAGCCACTGCTGCTCATGCTGAGCAGTTCAGAACAAGGCTGGTCACGTCTTACTTTCAGCAATGCTGAATCTAATACATCTGTTGATCAGTCTGCAATTTTTACTTCCTTTCAGACTTCAGCAGATTATTTCCACAAAAAGAGTATGTTCACTGATATTTTAGTAGGCACCAGCTCAGGGAGAGCCTTCTCCTCCCTGCTCAGGATAGGTTTTACTCTTTCTTCCCCTCTGGGATCACTGAAGCTGTGGAAGTTCAAGAAAGATGCCAGTTTTGCATTCCGATTGAAAATTGTTTTAATACTATAAAACTCATTTGTTCACATATTTTGTACAAAAGATGAGTTGTTTTCTCTTAATTACAGGAGAATCATTTCAAGTTGAGAATTCATCTAAGTAGGTCCAAAACAAAACAAGACTGGGTTCTACTGGTTCTGGAGGGTCCCAATTCAGCTCACCCAAGGTCTCTTTCCAGTTTTGCTCTCACAGTTATGGACCACCTTGATGGAAAATACCCCACATCATCATTGACTCTTCGGAGGCTTGTAGTGAATTCGGCACCGCTCATTAAATACCTGAGACACCAAAACAGAAGAGCAAAAGTGAATCAACCCCATCCAGGAAATGAGCAGAACTTCACAGACTACTTCTTCATGTAGCACCCATCTCAAGCTGCCCAGCTCTGAGGTATCAATAAATGGCACTTACCAAGACATCCATCTCCATTCACCTTGACTCCTGGCTTTAGTAAATCCAAAGTCTGCAGCCTGATGTTGGGAGACTCCACAGCACTAAGTGTTCTCCCTCAGAAAATGCAGACTCTTAATCCTGGCAGGCTGTTACCATCAAAAATGCTGATGCCTTTTTGTTTTTAAAAGAGAGGGAAATAATCATGGGAAGGCTCCTGAATGGTTGTGTTCTATTAGGTTCACTCTGGCATTCAAACTTGGGTGCTGAATTCCTGTCTTTCCTGAGCAGGCACATTTTACATTGGCATGACAGCCAAGAAGAGGGGCAAGGGCTCCTGAAAGCCACATGCACACTTCCAGTGACCTGCCTGCCTGTGCCAATGCTGCCAGCACTCCGTGCAAAGGGCACAGCACCCCTGCCTCACTCACCTCTGGCATCTTCTCTGGGTAAAATTTAGCCTCCAGAACTGGACGCTGAGAATTGTGTATATTTAGCTTCAACTGCTGCCATCCTACCCTAAGGAGGGCCAAAAAACGTGACTATTTAAAGAAAGGCAGCCTGAATCCAAAGCAAACCACACAGCCTCCCACCAAGGTTGCAAGTGCTCTTCATAAGCCATTTAGATTTATCAGTTTTTATCCAAATTTGTCCAGCACAAGTCCTGAAAGCGACACAAGCACCACCTGACACCAAGCTGAGGCTCTGGCAGGTTGTTTGTTGGTTGTCCCGCCAGCATTCCCACAAGAGCATATTTTGCCAAGCTGTCCAGAGATGTGGCAGACCCAAGTGCCTGTGATCATCAGGATATGAAGTTTCATGAACTCTCCCAATGGCTTTATGTGCAAAGTGAGTGATCTTGTAATTTTGGGGAAGTTATCCAACACTTTATATAAATATACAGTTTCAAGCTGTATCTTCCTAAAATCTTCTAGAGCAGATCTTATTCACAGTTCAGAACCTACGGCAACTTCAGCAAAAGTGAAGCCTGGAGCACACATTAGTTTCAGCATTACTTCTCAACAATTTTGGAGCAATTTTCAACTACCTTTCAAATTTAATTTATTTAAAGAAATAGACATGTATTACAAACTGATTCATACTGCAGAAAGCAAAAGCTGTGATATAGTTTCTTTCACACACAGTAACGTGCAGCCATTATGTTACCACATGGAATGGACACCTCTGGAAAAGTTCAGGTGAGGTAAAGATTTGAGATCAGTGATAGGAAGAAACTGTAGAAATTAAGAGCAACAGCATGAAGTCCAATTCAGAAACATTTTACTCAAGAACAAATCACACCGTTTTTTGTCCATTGTCTGTTAATGACATTTGAATGGAATAATGTCTAAAAGGGTGCTGGAAATGCTCTCTAAAGCACTGCAAGGGTCTCTAACATCAAAGAACACACCAGCTTGCTTGCTATCACACTAACTTTCAAAGTATCTTCAACAGTAACTCCACAACCTATGGCAGGAAGACCAACACTGCACTCTTACTAACACTGCCTCCTACTTTTAGGATCATTGCCTCACAGATCTTAGTGTTACTTAGTGTTACTAAGGCCATTTAACTCCATTGGTCTACTTGTAAAGTGCTAGTCTCATTTATCAGACATTTTTCAGGAAAATCAATGGCTGAGAAACATTAAAATGCATGTAACTATGCAAAAGTTTGATTTTGCTGGCTTTTACATATTTGCATAAACCACTCCAACAATAAACTCCAATCTCCAATCTAGAGGTGCTGGATAGAGACTACTGCAAGTGTCTTGTTTGAAACTCTATTCCTGGTATGGTATGATCCAAATTCCACATGCATTTCTCAAAAGGAGCATTCTGTATGCCACTATTGCTACAGCCTCTAGTGTTTAAACATCTGTTTCCTAATCAGATTTTTCCCATTAGTTTTCAGTTGTTTAGGATTAATGGACATACACAAGTGTACTTCCCAACCAGAAGTCCACAAAAGTGAAACACCAGCCTGCACACCAATAATCATATCCATGTAACAAATTGCATTCAGTCTGCAACCATGACTGGTTCTAACTGACATTTTAACAAGCAGCTAAAGGAGAAATTTATGTGTATATTCAGAGCACAGTGTAACAGAACTGGAGATAAAATTCAGAAATATTTATCTCTTCAAGCCCCACTCTGAACATTGGCTGAGGAATATACCAGCAGCCTAAAGTACCCCTACACCATGCATACCTCACTGTTTATAAACTCTCCATCTTTAGGAAAAAATTAGACAGTTCTGCCACCAGTAAAAGCTTAATGCAGCTACAAGAAGCCTCCAGAATCATTACTAAATTTGGTGCTTCAGAAGGAAGATTAGGGTGGGGGCTGTTCCCCTGTAGCAGAGTCACTGTAAAATATTTGCCCCTGGTGACCTGCAGCATGTTGTTGTTAAGGCAGTGGCATCGCTTAGTCAGATCTGAGTGGGTTTAAAACTACACTGAAGTGCATGCTTAGCTTTTTTGGGACAGTACTACAGAGGTGTACTGATGACAATGCATATGCAGAAAACTGTGTAAATGCTCATTTCATCAGCCTGCACTGAGGTTACTGATGAACACCCAAGACACAAAGCTGTATTGGTTTTACACTGGTGTAATCTAGGAGACTAAAATCATGAAGTAGGGATTAAAAAGGAAGGTGCAGCTAGTAGTGGCTATTTGCAAAAATCCTTTTTGCATTTAGAGAGGGAAAGAGGTTCTCTCTGCAGTACTGAAAGCTCTGAGAAGCTACATCAAACCAGCAAAGGATGCCAGATGTGAAATGCTGCAGTGACGCAATACAGCCACCTCAGAACTTAAGCTCAGTGCTAAAATCACCGGATAGACTTCAGGGCCATCATCCAGATGGTGATCTGCACCCTCTGCTGACACAGGAGAGCAACGGCAAGGCTGCCCTCTGCACCACGGAGTGTCTGTTCAGGCCCGAAGAAACTCCATCAGGAAAAGGTTCAGCTTCTACAGCCTCACCCTCCCCTGGGCTCTGCTCAGAGTTGTGATCAGCACCAGATACAGGCAAATGTGAAAGACTCTTCTCTCAGACATTGTTAGAGGCCCTGAAAAGCTCTTCAGAGAAGTCACCACAGAAAAGCCTACAAGTGCTCAGCCACTGGCAAGGGGGAGAAAGGGACACAGGGAATAATTCACAGTCCTTCCTTGGCAGTGCAACTGAAGAGCTTTGATCTCTGCTTACAGAACTGGGAAAATTACTGACTTGAAGCATTTCCCCTAGCAGTGCCTTCATCTATTTCCAGTTAATCTGCTTCACAAGGCACCAGTCCCACACCTCCAGTGCAGGACATCTGTTGCGATGTCTGTTGGGACAGGACATCATCACTATTAAATGACTGAGTACCTTCCAGCTTCTGTCGTTTACCACTTCTTCAACATTGAGCTCCGACTGCATCAATTTCAACTGCAGAAAATAAGAGATAAAAGGGTTATTGTCAAACTGCAGCCTTCAGTATTTACTACCAACACAACTTTCCAGCTCCTAACCCCAGCACCAGGTGCACACCTCCTCTGATGGTGCAAACCAAAGGACACAATGCATAGTCACCCTGGGAGCCTGTCCCTTCCAGTCAGCCAGTGCTCAAGGCACACACAGCTCCGCAAGGGCACAGTGAAGGCAGACTCACTAAACAAGCCTGGCAGTAGATCCTAATTACCCATGCTCTATTCCTAAATAATGCCCATCAAGATTTACTAGCAATTAACAGATTAACACTGATGGCTTCACAGGCACAAATAACTGCCCCTAAAGCAAGCACTGAGCACAGGGAATGCCAGGGCTGGGGTTTGCCCTGTAGCCTTGAGTTGCCACATTAGAGTCATATATGAAGCTGGCAGCAAAGCTACGACTCCAGCTGGGATTCTGGATTTAAAACTAAGGTATGAACAGACCCTCTCTGCTTCATTTGCCATCTAGTCAGTGCACTGACCAAAAAGGTTTGCAGTCTGATCACGTGTTGTTTGTGCTGTCTGAACCAGTTAGTATTTTATGTCATCACTGCAGGACAAATCAGCTCTACACAGATGCAAAAACTCTGGCAAGAACTACCACCAATACACAGTTTTTGAGCACTCACTTGACCTGTGAGGAGGGTAAGAATCTCTTTGTTTCACACCTATTAGAAACCCTGAGGGGCAGGTGTGACAGTTGTGTTTGGGTAATTTGGTCTTGAGGAGATTTAAGAACCATCTGCCATTTTGCCCAAATTTAGGATGTGTTCTTGTTGGAGTCTTTAACACAACAGACAAAGAGTCGGAGTTTATCCATTTTCAATACACGGTTCCAATTAGAAGCCTGGTGAACAGGTGCAAGCAAAGACAGCAATCCCACTAAAAACCTTCCAAGTAAGATATCCAAGGACACAGAGTTGCTACAGCTGTTGGATGCACTTTCCCCAGCTCAACAGGACTTCAATCTGTTTGAAATAACAATCCAGCATCCAGAGTGACTGATGACCAGGATAAGTATCTATAAAATAAACACTCAGAGGATCTTTAATAGTTCAAAGAAACTACTCCTCCGAGTTTTCTCATTCAGTGACCCAGAAGTAATAATTATGCATGAAGTCCTCCAAGTTGTACAACTAGCAGGATGAGAGAAACAGACATAACAAGGGAAAAGAGATCTGTATTGCAAAAAGTTAACAGGTATTTGAAATTCCCAATCTTAAAACTAGGATGTGTTCTGTCAAGATAGCTTTTCTGACTTGTAGAAAAAATGCAATTCTCAGTGTTTTGGAGAGCCAAAAAAAAAAAAAAGAAAAAAGTCAGGGGATCACACCTCATAGGGTCCAAGTACAAATCTGAGGTGATCTAATAAAAAATTTCTGAGATGTGTCTAAATCATGAATTGCTTTTAATATTTGAAGCAACCTCCAATCATTAAACACTTTTATTGTGATCCTCCCAGTGTTTCCAATAAGAGATTTTGGGCTCAGTAACTAAATGATTTAGCTGTGCTAACAAAATTTGTAGAAAATACTAAGCAACCACTCCAGTTTTATAAACTAATATCCATGCTTGTTGGCAGTTCAATAAGTGAGGCTTTAAGAATAAAACTGCTCATCTGCCACGTGGTTCTCTCAGTATCCTTTTCCTTACAAAAGCAGTCCTGGAAATGAGGAGAACTTCAGTGGGGTTCCCAGAATTCTCTCTCTCACAGCATCACAAGGTACTCCAAATATTAATCCAAGAAATACCAACCAGAAAAAAGGTTGTGCAAGTGGAATTCAAGGTTGCCTGGGAGCATCTTGTAGTGAACAGGAAAAGTTAAGCTGTGCCTTGGTGTTGTCAGTCAGTGAAGGTTAGAATCCACCACAGGAAAGAATGTGTTTTTCTACAGTATACATGTAAAAGAATCTCAGAAAATGCTCCAGTTGCAGGATAAAACCTCTCTGCCTTGAGGCCTTGGGAAAAATAATTCTCACAAGACCCAACAAGAGCCAATGAGAACTTTGGAAAAGACTGCTTGACTGAGAATCCACTGCAGGCTCTCTCCATCACACCGGTCTTTCCATTTGGGAAAGATACCCACTTCTACCTCTGTAAGTGATCTCTCAAAGGCTCCACCACTCACCTTTGTCTGTTCTTTCCTGAGTTGCTTTAATAATGCTGCATCTTCATGGGCCTTTTCCCTCTCTTCTTTGAGAGTTTTCACTATGGCAGAAGTCTGAGAGATGCAGTTTTTGATGATTCTTTCTCTGTTGGTGTGAGCATCCATCAACTAAGTGGGGAGAAAAAGAAAGTCACAGTGACTCAGAATAAAAACCTCTTAGTTATAAGTTTAAACAGACACTTCCTAAAGTCATGGTATTGCTGTGCCTACAGAAATCCCTTTGAATTCATAATCCACATGTGGGAAACAACACAGCTTTGAGCAGCAGCTACTCTCACCTTAGATTACCCTGTCGTTCTTGCTCTTACCAAGTTGATCAAAAGTCAAAGGTAAACATGAGGAGTCTTGCAGAGCAGCAGAAAAGCACCCTTTTAAAAAGATCCTCAAAGGATCAGTATTGCAGAACAAAGAACTGCCCTGCATGGTTTTAAACTGAAGCAGTGTGTGGAGATGATGAGCAGTGCTGTTAGTAATACACAAAGCAGGATCTCCCAGGGCAGTATTTTCCTCAGACACTGAGGATGCTTTACTGGCCACTGCACACGACAAAGCAGTGGGAAGAGAGCTGAAAGTGGAAGGTGTGCACACTCACAGACTCATACAGCTCTCTGCACGTCTGGCCAGGATCAACTTTCCCCACAAAGGAAGCTGTTGGAATCGTAGTGTTTAATTCATGAACAATTCTATCATCGATTGTCCTCATCACCCTGAGCAGCTCCTGTATTAAAAGAGAGAGATACTCGGTTATATCTCTCAGAAAAGCCTACTACAAAAAAAATTTGCATAGTTAAGCATTTTAATAGAAACTAAATAGGGTTCCTTACAAAGAGCTAGAAGCACACCGAAGGAGCAATCCCACATGCAGGAGTATGCGCTGCAAACCACGGAGTTTCCTTGGCAGCAAGGGCCAGAGCAGGGGTGAGTAACTGATGCCCCCTGATGTCCCCTGGCCCTGCCGGCAGCATGGACAGGCTGAAGAGCCTGTGCCCAAGTCCCCGACCCCACTTCCACACGGGAAACTGGCACCAAACCTGCACCAAAAAGGCAAACTTTGAATAAAACCCCCCTAGCATTCTGGGGACCGTGAAGCTGAGCTGGGGGAGGTTTAGGTTGGATAGCACGAAGTTTTTCACACAGAGCAGCAGAGCACTGGGACAGGCTCCTCAGGGCAGTGGCCACAGCAGCGAGCCCGACGGAGCTCAAGATGTGTTCGGACACCCTCAGGCACACGATGTGACCCCTGGGGCGTGCTGTGCAGGGCCGGGAGCTGGACTCGCTGGCTCCGGAGGGTCCCTGGCTACTCAGGACGTTCTAGGATTCCGCGGTGCAGACACAGCCGGTTCCCAGAGCCGGCTCGCCCCGCCGAAGGCACGGGTGGCCCCCGCTCCCTTACACGCCGCGGAGGCGCCCGCGGAGCTCCCGCCGCCCGCGTGGCTCCCGCCGCCCGCGTGGCTCCCGCGCCGCGAGCGCTGCGTCCCGGGAAAGGCGGGGAGGGGTCCGGCCGCGCTCCCGCCGGAGGGAAGGGAACGGGGAGGAGGGAAGGGGGAAGGGGAGGGGAAGGCCGGACCCGCTCCCTCCCGCCGCATCCCGCCGGCCCCGGCACCGGGGTCACCTCGCGCGGGGCGCGCTCCCGCGGGGCCGCTCGCGGGAAGCGCCGGGAGCGCGCGGGACGGGCGGCGGCAGCGCCCGGCCCGGCCCGGCCCGGCCCGGCCCGCCCGCCCCGCGCGGGTTACCTGGAACTCGGCGAAGTCCTCGCAGCTCGCGGCCCCGCCGGGCGCCGCCATCCTGGATCGGCCGAGGGAGCCGCGGCGCCCAATCCGGCGGGGAGCCGGGATGACGCGCGGGGCGGAGCGGGGCGGGCCCCGCCGGAGCGCGGCCCCCGGCGCAGCGGCCCCCGGCAGGGCATCGCCACCGGCAGCGGCCCCGCTCCCCTCCGCCTCCTCCGCCCGCTGCGAGCGCTCCGGCCGCCCCACCGGAGGCGGCGCCGGCCCCGAGCGCCCCGCGGCGCGGCTCCCTCCAATCGCGGGCCCGGGGCGGGGCCCGGCCGTGACATTGAGCTGCGCCCCGCGGGCCCGCAGCGCCATGTGGGGCCGCGCCGGTGAGTGAGCGACGGGGGAGGCGGGGAGGCACCGACCGAGCCCGGCCCGGGACCGCGGGCGGCCGGGACCGCGGGCGGCCGGGCCCGCAGCGCGGGGCGGGAGCCGAGGCGAGCCTGGGGCCGGGCCTGGCGGCCGAAACCCTGACGGGAGCGGAGCGGCCGTGCCTCGGCTTCCCTAAAAGGGCCAGCTTCCCTGGCGGTGTCGCCTGGAAATGTAAATTACTGGCTTTTCAGAGCGGGAGTACCTTATTCCGCGAAAGTAAAGGGCCTTAGGAGGGACAGCTTCAGGCAGTATAGCAAAGTAAAATAAGAACTCCTTTTATATTTTTAAGTGCCGTTTTTGCCTTTCTGAGATTGGTTGGTTGTTTGGAGCTTTTTCCTAAACTTTTTCATTATCTTAATTAATGCATTCGAAGCGCCTACTGTAAAGTATGTGTGCGTATATAAGGTGTCCTGGCTTTTCTAATGTGCTACAAAGTAGTTACCTCTCAGTGCTAAATATTATGCTTTTTTGACTTTTTTTTTTACTTGACTCTCAATGCTTTTGGCATGTGACAAGATTGATAGAATGCTGGTGTGCAGTCCTTGAAATAGCACCATCCAAAGTGTATCTGAAACATTTGTATAGATTAGTCCCTGGAAATTGTAATGTGTTTTAGAAATTGCTAGCAGGACATTATTTTGCTTCCCCCCCCCCCTCCCCCCCGCAAATGAATGTAATTGCATTCACATTTTTCTACATAAGATTACTGAGCAAGCTCAAGGCATACCTTATAAGCAAGTTTTCATTGGTAGGCTATTACAACTAAATCTGGTACTTCTTGCCTTCACTTGTACCTATTGGTTTTCTTTCTTTTTTTTCGTCTTATATTAAAAAAAACCCAAATGCTTCCATTTAAAAGCTGGTTCCCACTTTCTACTGCTCTGAGTTAAACTTGGCTTTTTTCTTCCTCTGCTTCCTTTTCCAGATAAGGCTGTTAAACTGCTGGGAAGAAATATTCCCTCAATTCTGAGGATGACCGAGGGAGTGGACCTGAAGATAAGCAGAAGGCTGTGCATTAAACCCCAGCAAGACCTTCAGTCAAAGCGTAAGAGTCTTTGATAAAGTCATGGAATGTTTCATGCCACAGAATACTCACATATCCCTGCTGCAATCATCTGAACAGGAATTTTGCTGATATAGGTGATCATATCCCTGATTTTGTGAGAGTTCTGGTCTCTAGACTGAAAAAATGGAGCATTAAATTTGGTAGTCTTGTTTTCTAACAAAAAGACAGGGGTCGATGTTTCCACTTGTGAGGGTCACACAGCATTCACTTTGTAGCAGATCACCAGAACCTTATCTAGTGCACACTCCTACACTGAGGCTCCTCAGCTCTGCTCTGGAACTGCTTCTTCAGACCTACTGTAAACTGTTCATGTTTAGAAATGTTGTGTGAGCTAAAAGACTTTTGCAGTTTTTTGGAGTGCAGCTGTTCCAAAAACTCAATGTGCCCTGCAGGGAAGAGTCTGAATTGTTCACATTTAAGGGTGTAACTGGTAAGGGACATCTCAAGCGATTAAACACTTTTTCACTATTTACAGGACAGTTTCTGTGCTCCCTGTATCACAGGCTTCTTATGGCACACCCATGCAGGAGAAAAGGAACACACAGATGTGAAGCATTTGGCATGACTCTGTGTTAAAAACATGAATGAGCTGTACTGGGTAGGAAGGTCTCCTTAAAAATGTGATGTCTCCAGCAGGGGCCAGTAAAGGAAGTCCCTTGCATTTTTGTAAAGTGGGAATAAGGAAGAGAATGGGAAGAGGGTTCCTGTATATCACTGCCCCAGAGGTGGCATCTTGGCGTTTAATAGTCCTCACTGGATTTCTTTTTCCCCAACAAATTTCCTGATGCTGGATTAGATGTATTTTTAGCATCCACATTCTCTAAGAATGTGGATCCTAAAGTTCCCTAAGAATTTCTTCTCTAAGAAGAAATTCCTCAGCTACAGTCTTGTGTTTGTTTTTTTAACCCAATGTGCACTTTTTTGTAATCGGATTTTCCTTTATTCAGTACCCTTTCTATTAAAACCCACACTCCTAATGTCTCTTGTAATGCTCTGCTGGGCTGAAGAGAGCTTCAGTCACTGCTTTTCCAGGCCAAAGGGTCTCGGTCTGTGACACAGTTTCTTACACGATGTCCATGCCATACCTGTGGCTGTCCTTACCAGGGTTCTCTGTGCCTGTTCTCTTTTAGCTCCCTCTAAGTATTTCCCATGCTTTTCAGAAAGCTGGAATGATTTTTTCACAGAGGCTCAGTAATGCTGCTGTGTTGGTCAGAGTTCCTGATCAGGGGCAGTTATGCTGTTTCCTGTTCTGTTGCTTGCCAGAAGCACTGTGGAACCCCAAGGCCTTGCTCAGGCCTAGGTAATGATTTGTAAGCAAGGGCAGAGTCTGTCACTTGTGTGTGAACTGGAATTGCTTCCTGTTTATGGACAAGGGAGTTCCCAGGCCAATTCATTGACTCTGAATTCTGAAGCCCCGTGGCATTTTGGGCTCAGCCCTCTTCTTTGTTTTTGAATAAGCTGGTGCTGTCAGCAAACTGTATCCACCCCACTTCCTACATAATTCATGAATCCATGAGGGAGAACATGGCCATACAGGATACTGCCTATTGTTTAAAAGCAAAAAAGCTGTCTATCTTTGCACTTTGTTTCTTGGATTTTAATGGTATGTTATATATGAAAAGCTTCCCCTGTTACAGTATGGATATTTTGTTTATGGAGTTTGATAGACTGACCTGATAATTATGCGTCCAATCTTTGCCTATGGTCACCTGTTTATTTTTACCTTCAGATAAAATCTTACACTACCTGAAAATGTTGACATTCTGTGATGTTATATTGACTTTTTTTGTTATTGTGCATCATGTTGGCTTTTCTGTAGCTGTTCCATTTGGGTTTTTTAACCTTATTTAAATGAAATAGAAAACCAGTACCTTAGGAACCTTAGAAGCTGGAGCAGCTTCTGCACATTTAGCCCTGCAGATACAGAGGTTTTGAGAAGGATTTGACTTTCCTTACATTTTAACCCATATTTACATGTTTGTTAATCTGTGATACAGTTTTCATTCTCTAACCACCTCTAGCAATCATATGTAGAGTTCTGCATTGCTCACCCTAACTGGTTTTGTTACAGCTCTGACCATCCAGCCTCTCTGACTGTTGTTTTTGGTGGTGTTTTGTTGGGTTTTTTAGGTCGATCTGCTTCGGGAGTGCCTGGATACAAGCCTACACTCTGGGAGAGAAGGTTTTTGTTGTGGGCAGGCCATTTCAAAAAGCTAGAGGATATTCCAGAGACTGTCTCGTAAGTATCACATTTGAAGCTGTAAAAGAGACTTGTCTATGCAGAAATAAGTTACTTGCATGCAACTCCAGAGTAACTTTTCTAGAAAGGAATGGGTTTGCACAGCTGAAAATCCTTACCCTGCTGTGTTTGGTGTATCATCCTTGTATATGAAATGACCTCAGCAATTCTCTGGTGCTAGGAGGATGTATTCCTCTTGATTTTTTTTCCTTTTTTTGCAAAGGGTTGACCAGCATTTATGAGTTGTTTCATTAGAAAACCATGTCAGATCAGTTAATTTTTATTCTTCTCTTGCAATCAGAAAGCTTTTTTCAAACATTAGTATGAGCGTTTTGTAGTGTTTTTCATTATATGTCAGTCTCTTGCAGTGGGAAACTTTCATATACAGCTATAAAATAACTGAAACTCATATAAAGTATTTATTAATGAAAACCTAAAGGGCACGGGCCAACTTCCTTTACGTTGGAATTTAAACTAACAAAGTGTTAAGGCTCCCTGACTATACATAGTCAAAATTTCCCTGTTGCTGCTGAGTCCAAATGTCAAAAGCTTTGTCCCGTGTGAAAAGTAGAAAATAAAACTGGATGTTCTGGTTTGGACACCAAAAATAAAGATCAAACTTATCAACAATAGACAACTATTAGTCTAAAAAACATTCCTATTGGTACTATAGTTATCTTTTAAAGCATGGTCATAATGCTTTTAAATACATGTATTTATTTAAATTTAAAAGAAACAGTAAATTTTTCACTACTTGAGTAAGAAAATTATGTAGCTGCCCTCTTACATATTTTGTTTGTCTGGATGCACCACGTGGGAATTGAAAATCCATCCCTGTATTTAAATGTATCACAGTGAATGAATTTTGTTAAATGTGGAATCCTTCCATTTTGTACTGAATCTTTTTTCTTAAAACTACATTTGAAATACATACAGGAGTAAATTATTAAAACTTACTACAACTTCATGTATTTTTGTACACCAAATACCTGTTATGAATGTTTTTAAGAAAACAGAGTTAGCAGAGTGATTGATTTCAGTAGTTTATTGAAAGGACAAACCAACTTCTGATAAAAGCTGACCATTTCTGCAAGTGCATAGGGAATTATTTTTATTTAGATAAATAATTCAGCCAAATCTGAGAAGACAGTTGAGAACTATAAAAGCACAAAAACTTGTTTTCCTGTTCTGAGATTAATTATGTGTTGTAAGGGCTTGTGCTATAACTCGGTAATCTTGTAAAATGTGGTGAAGCAACCCATTTATTAAACAAGTGTTAAACTTAGCCACTGAACTGATTTAAAATGCAACTTGTGTTTAGATATCTACCTTTTGCTCTTGTAAATTCTTAACACACCTAAGGTATTTCCAAAATTAACTAGCAAACTTTTTAAAATCCTACTGCTGTGCATTTCAGCTTAATTGCAGCCTGAACTCAAGGCTTTCACTGCAGATTATTAGCAGAAGCAAATAACCTGGATGCTAAAATTAACCATTAGTTTCATTGTAGATGGATGTGTTTGTTCCCTATGATCAGAAATCTTGTACTCAAATCAATGCTCTGACAAAAACAAGAACAAAACTTCTCAGCTCTCAGGTCTTGTGTAATTTACCACTCTGAACTACCATGGATCCTCAAATATCTTTTTTTTTTTTTTCCTTCCAAATGTAAAGATCAAAATGTAGTAACTGACTCCATATTCACTCATGTTTATGTACAGTAATAATTTCCCAGTTCCATTAAATGCATTCTCCACATCAGTTTTGGGGTATAAGTAACCTGTTGGTGCTTTTCCAGTCTTCTGGAATTTTGTCATATGCCAAATATAATCAGTGAGAGTATCAGCCCTCCTTGAGAAGGGAGTCATCTGCCCTAAATATTCTGTAAGGAGAGTTAAATGTACAGGGTGTATGTCTTTGGTTGTTGTGGAAAGCACTTCTAAAAAAAGCATTTAATGCTTCACTGGCCCTTCTTGCATTGCCCTGACACAGACTTAAAACCTGCTGTAACCAAGATGTCATTTTGGTTAGAAATAACCTTCAGAGTTAACTCAAACAAAAATCTCTTTTTACTCTCCACACAGCTGGAAGGTGTCAGTAACTGCTACTCTTCTGGTGGAAGACTTCTGATTTTTAAAAGATAACAGGAAAGTAGGCAATAAGTTTCCCAAAAGGGTGGTATAGCTGCTGCTGTGGCTAGTTAAGCCCCCTAAACTTAAAAGAAAAATTTTAAAAGTTCATCTATCCAGAGATGATAGAAAAGTTTACAATCTTCCACACCTCCTTAGTTTCTCAGGGAAGCAGATCACTTTAGGACTATTTATTCCAGCAGGAATGGGGACCACTGGTCTTATAGCAAGCCCTATTCAGAATTTCTGAGTGTTGAATTCAGCAGCCTGTGTGTCACTTACTGCACTTCCAAGTGCAATAGCACTTTCCTGTAGCAGAGGAAGCACCTTGCTGGGAAATAAGACTGCCTCATAAATGAAACCACTGTGAAGTTCAGGCAGAAGAAGATGCAAAGGTGTGCTGATGCTTCCCTCTGCCCAATAAACTCTCAACTGTTAAAACACCATATTTTGGGTTTTACCAGACTTCCACTATTGAGAAAAAAATGCATGTTTTACTATGTTAAATACATCACAATTATAATACAGATGAGTTTTCCCTAACTTTGCAGATATTGGAAGGTGGTAGTGAGCACAGAGGGAGTTGACAATAAGAAAAATACGGTATTTGTTAAACTATTCCTCTCTTTTTCCTGTTCTTTCATAATGAGCATACACAAATCCTGCAGCCTTCTTCCTTTGCATTGCAGTCAAGTGGTCTGCAAAGGCAGTATTTTAACAAGAGAGTAAGCTGAGTTTAAAAAGTTTTGCTTGTTTCCAGCTTTGAGAGGAATGCCTGTTACCAAGTATCTCCCAATGTAGTTAGGGATCAGCCTTTACTGTTCTTGTAAAACTTTTTTGTGCAAAGAGCCAAGTGCTGTTGGCATTACACAAAACTACCAAGACAGCACACTAGGACAAATTAAATAATTAGCCAAATGAATTATTTGGGTCTCTGATAATGAGTCTCTTACTCATTGTTTTTTACTTTTTCTTGAGGCTTGACACAGTGCAAGCAGCAAAGACCACCCTGCGCATCAAGTTCAGCTATGTCATGATTGCCTTGACAATAGTGGGATGCATCACCATGGTGATCAGAGGGAAGCAGGTAAGCACAGAATTTGGGCTGATGAGGGCAAATAAACCTTCATTTAAACTTCTTAGTTCCTCTATGGATTTTTAGTACAATCTTGCTTTGGGGGTTTGGGGTTTTTTGTCCATTTTAGAGTTTTTTGTCATTTTATCACTGAACAAAATTTTAACAAGCCCTCCTGGTTCCCCAGAAGTGACCCTCATTGACTAATTCTCATCAGAAAAGGATGATGTCACCATTAAGATGCTTCCTTAAAAAACAAAAAAAAAACCCAAACAAAACCCCTGAGCTTAAAGCATCTGGATGCCAGAAGAACCTTATTTGTTATGCTGCCTCTCTTCTGATGATAATGTTCAGGTCTGGTTTCTGTGGACTACTGTGTTGTAGAGAAACCTTAAAAGTAGTGACAGTCTTAACCCCCGCACTGTGAGTTACTGAGTGTCACCTGACATTTCCATCAGGAGTTGTCTATTACAATGAAAAGGATGCAGCAGTCTGAAATGAAACAGTGGAAGGATTTTTCCTGGCTTTACTAGCGGAGATCAAACATTGATGATTCCCAGAGCATTTTCCTTTGTACTGGAGAAGTATGAATGCAAATACCAGGAAGAAAGAACAGTTTCTTTGGAATCCTTGTTTTCAAAGCAGCTGGAATTATTTTTGTTTCCTGAGATGAGCTCAGTTGGCTGGAGAATGATGCTAATAATGCCAAGGTTACAAGTTTGATCCCCCGTGGGCCATTCACTGAAGAGTTGGAATTGATGATACATGCGGTCTCTTCCATCTCAAGATATTCTATAAGTCTGTGATTATGTTTAACTTTTGATTTGTTTCTCTGTCTTGTGAAAATCAGATCAGTACAAAATACTGACCAGAAGCACACAATGTATCTGCTAGTGCCTTGAAAAAAGGGTTTAATTTATTCCCAGAGAAGTAATTACTTTCAGCCAAAATAATCTCTCAATATTTTACTTTAACCCTCTTGGCTTCCTGGCATTAAAGCTGTGGCAGAACTGTGCCTTGGTGAGGACAGGTCAGGTATTTTATAAGTTATTGATCAAGATTCAACTCCATGGTCCTTCAGGTGATAACTGATGATCTTATCACATTGTAGGGTATGAAAAGACATGAATCTCTTACAAACATAAACTTGGAGAAGAAAGCCCAGTGGAAAGCGGAAGCATCTGCTAAACCATAGAGGAGGAAATGAAGATATCAAGGACTGGGGTAGACAAGCACTGACAGAATATCATCACATCTTTCCTGTTAGTTCTGTACACTCTAGGTTCAAGAAAGAATGAATATGCTGTCTTGTAGTCAATAAAACCAGAAATACCTATTTTCTTTTCCTTGTAACTGCGCTTTTCTTCACGGTTAGTGGGACAGGACACGCAAGCACAGTGGATGAGAAATGGAATTGTTTCCCACGTGCTGTGCACCAGAGCATCTTTTAAAGTACTGCAGGACCTGTACCTGAATTTTTGGTACCAATACCCTGCATGAAGTCTCATGTTCTTACTTACCACTTACAGGAAGGTAACCGTAACACAAAAGAAGGGTCCATTTGGTTTCCATTTGTACATCCATGCTTGTACAAAAAAGATACCTTTACTAGCCAGCCATCCACTATCACTGACTATTTCAGGTCAGCAAGAATGGAACTGTATTTATTCTGTATTGGTATTGGCTACTTCAAGTAATCCACATGTTCATCTTTCTGCAAGACACAAAATTGAGGCAGCCCTTGAGTCTAAAGTTACTGTCTAACCTACATTAACATCAGCAAAATGATCCTAAGGTATTAGAAAGCCTAATTCCCTGGTCTAGGTCCTGTTATTCTATAATATTTAACTTGTTTAAATGAGGGATAACTTCCTGTGAAGAACTGCCTGCCTTCAAGAAAATGAGGAAGGAGATGAAGAGTGAAAGAGCATTCCAGAGAACCACGTGTTGCAGCTGACATCTAAGTGTGGTCCAGCAGAGCTGGCAGTGAGATGAGAGAACATCCAAGCTAAGGGAACAGAGATGACTATTTGAGATATACTGAGTAACTGCTTCAACCTGTACTGTCAGATTTACTAGAGACACATAAGTACGAGAAAGTCAATCAGACATCCCTGCTCTCTGCTACTAAGCACTTTCTTTATGAATCTCATTTAGATTTATATGTATTTTGCTCTTTTAAATTGTCTGTGCTTTCATCATACTAGGCCCACCTAGAGATCACTTGCCTCCAGAGTACTATTTCTGGCATTGAGCCCAGTCATGCACTATTCACGCTGAAGAGCCCACAGCAACCAGGGAAAATATTTTCCTTCCTTCTTTCACTTAATCTGTAAGGAAATGTAGACTGAAGGGTCAGGACTGCTCAGAATGCTGCCCCAGCACTGCCCTGCTGATTGGCCCTGGGGACTACAAAACCACAAGAGAACAAGAGACATATCAAAAGCTTTGATTTTTTTTTTCACAAAAATTAGTTTGTGAACTTTCTCAGAGTGAGAGGGAGATTATTTTTGCTGTACCCCTAAAATTTAGCAGTATTGCTGATAATTAAAAGCCCCACAAAAACACAGGTTAAATCTTCACTAGCTGCTGCAGTTCCAGCTATGAATTGCACTTCTGAGTACCACAGTGAGATGTAACCCATCAGACAAGGTGTGTAGTCAATTCCACCACAGCAGTCAGAACCTTCAGATGATACAACGACCTGTCATCAGATTCTCTGGATGGAAATAATAAGTACACTGTCAATCAAGCAGAGCAGGATTGCACAGATATGTCCACTTAATTAGCACTGAATGCAAGCTATGTTTAATTTCACTGCAGGTATGTGAACAGATATTCCATGACAATTCTGGTTCTTTGCCACACCAGTAGGCACACAGGTGGGAACCAAGCAAAATCTTGCCCAATTACATGTCTGTGGTCATGTATGTACTAACTGACACCAAAAAAGAGAACGTGCACTTCAGGTTTCTGTGAAGGAAAACTTGCGATTTATGCTTGGTGATGGCAAAGCTTAAAACTCTGCATCTCAAAAATACCACCCTTTCAACATATCTCTGAGTGCACTCTGTGAATAGAACCAGCAGGTACCTCTCCTAGTTTTGGGAATAAAACTATTTGGACACATCCAGCTGGTAAAGTACTTCAAATAAAAATATGCAATACACCACTTCAAAAGCAATACCTCAGAACAGCAATAGTAACCAGTTTTTCATTTTACTTAAATTTCTATAAGCTTTAGGCCATTTACTCAAAAACTGAAGTCTGGTCCAGTGGTTTGACAAAAGCTCCACATATCCTTCTGTCACCCCAGTATCTCCATTTCAGAATCTGCCAAAAAGACTTAGCATCACTGCCCAACTTTGTATTTTCTTTCAGCTTCTGCATAGGCTCAAGTCTCAAACCAAAGCCCAAGACAATGGGCTCTGTTTGGTCTCCAGCTTGCTCCCAGCCACTGTATTGTTTTCTTTGCAAGTAGCTGGGTACTGTAAAATGATGTAACAATTCCTCAGTGAGGCAAGTGAAAGTAGCTGGGTACTGTAAAATGATGTAACACTTCCTCAGTGAGGCAAGTGAAAGGAACCATCTCTTTCCTGGTGTGATGGCTTCCCAAAAGCAGTTCTAAACACAGACAGTGGTTACAAAACCAGCACGTTTCTGGCCAAAGCAGCCAGTCTAGCTGATGGGAGAACATAACACCCTTCAGATCACTGAGAGCCCACAGCTTCAACAGTGCACAATGGAAGGAACATACTAAGCCTGAAATGGTACCTCATTTTCTTTCTCCTCTTTGGCTTGGTCTGTAACACCACTCCCATTTATTCATAACAGTCCAGTTTATCAATCCTATACCATGTGCCTTATTGCTGTACCTGGTCCAGAGGCAACTGAAGCTTCCTAATGCAGCAATCACCTGACAACTCCAACACTGCATCAGTGGAACATGCAAGAGCCATAGCAGGACATGGCCATAGCAGTACACAGAGGTCTTGCTTACTTTTGTACTAAGACTCAGACACCTGAAGAAAGACCTTCAAGTCTAAAATGGGCATGGGAAAGTACCAATGGTGTGTTGTGGCAATTTCCAGAAGGAAAAAACAAAAAATCACACTGGAAGAGATGGGGATTTACTGTAAGCTGGCATAGAAATCAAAGTGTACAGAGCTAAGACAGGTGTTCTGGAAGTCTCCAGAAAAGCAGAGAAGTGTATTGCCAGGAGCACTGTCACATGTAGGACCATGTGCTGCAATCTAGTTCTTCAATAGTTTTGCGTGCTGACAGTAAAAAAGAAAAAGCAGGTCCAGGGTCATTGCCTTCCTCCCTTCTTCTAACATTAGGCAAAAGGTCTTCAACCACCTGTATTTGGTTGGCATCAAGGAACAAACCTGAATTTAGGAACAGGCTGAAGTCTTTAGGCAGCAGTTCCCTCAAATTATTGTGTGATACCTTTCCAGGAGCCCCAAGTGCTGGCCCTGACTTAGTTACTGAGCTTTCAGTAACGTACTCCATCATCCTTTGTACCCTCCTAAATCAAAAACACTGACCTTGCCTGCCATGTTCCACTGGGAACTTTGCCAACAGAAAGAACGATGGCTCCTGTTTGCTGCCCAAACAAAACCACAACTTTAATGGCATTACAGATCTGTGTGCTGAACTGCTACATAGCAATTCCAGGTAGTCCTGCATCTTCCTTTCTCTAATACCCAGTTTAAAACAGACATTGTTAAAATCTAAATGCAGTTCTTCCACCTCATTCCTGATGTTTCAGAAAAATTCAGTATAGTCTCATTACCATCCTGTGGGGCTTTTCGAAGACGCTTAGATCGGATCTCCACAAGCAGACAGAAACCAAAGCGTGTCTTTTAATCTTGAAGAAAACATAAGACTCTTTTCTAGCATTACATGCTGCCTGACAGAGCTAAGAGAAGAACACAAGAACTCCAAAAGCTCCCTCACCTACCCTCTACATGAGACCATGCTGCCTCTTATTTAGACAAAAACCAACAACAGATAATTCAAAACACAGCGTGACCTTCAGAAAAGCAGCAGCTAGAGGCGTTCTCTGAGATGATCCCTATCTGAGCACATCCTTCAGGAGAGCAGAGAATACTGCTTTCAGTGCTTCTAGCAAGGGACACAGCCACACAGAACTGTGTTAGGAAGCAGTGTTCAAGCAATATGATATAATGATCCTCATACTTTCACCGGCACTTTTCCTCCAAAACAGAGTTCTCAATCTGTGGCCTGAATGTTACTTACTAGATGGGTAAAGTTACACTACATGTTTGGCTCTGTTAGAATGCAAGCAGTTTAGTTGCCCTTGGCTTACCAAGTAATTCTGGTCAGTCTGTATCAGTGAGCTTTTCCTTTTATAATTCAAAAGTCTGATCTCCCTTCTGTACCCATTTAATTTGCAGCCTTTGTTAGAAGATTTTGTTTCTTTTCAACCTATTAATAAGGCTAAATAAAGCAACACTAAGAACTGGTTGCTGGAAGATCCTGATGGAAATACACTCAATTAAGCACCATTTAAAATTACATTGAGACCTATGAGTTATCCACATTTTAATCCATTTAATGTGTGCCATGGTGATTCTTGTATTGGTGTGGTTTTCACTCAAAATATTATGCAGTACCAGTCAAATGCCTTACACAGTCTAAGTATTTAGAATAACAATATTACCTGCATCAACCAGGCCTGTCACTTCAAGCAAAGATATCAAGTTTAAAGATTTATACTTATCTGCTCTGAATTCACATATCCATGGCAAAAATAACAATTACTGGCCAGGCTCCCTACACAGGAAGGCACACCAATCAGCTTAAATGGACTCTTTTTTTAATTCACTCATTTAGAGGCAATTGTCATTAATTTCTTGGGGGGCAGGGGAGGGAAATGCCAATGCACCACATTGTTTTCACTAGCCTGGAAGAGAAAACACTTATATATATAGATATATAGGTATGTATATATATACACACACTTTATGCGTGTGTGTATATATATGTGTGTGTGTATATATGTATATATACACACTAGTGTATATATACACAGAATATACATATATGAATATACAGAATATATGCACACACACTTTGCTCAGATTTGTTTACAAAATATGTAGCATTTTTATACCATCCAATAAGAGGTACATGGTTTTAAACAAATCTTATAGAAATGACATGTTATTGGAAATTTACACGTAAAAAAATCCAGCACAAAAAAATCCAAAAGCTAAAACAAGATTTTGCTACTAATCAGTGCTTCTATCACCCTTCAAGAAAAGAGAAACACAGTTATTTATATGTGATGTAAAGGCAACATTGAGGGGTT